TGGAGAAAATGAAAAGAATGAAAAAAATAAAAAATGATGAGCAGAAGGCAAGTTTCCATTTGCGACATCAAAAAACCTAAAAATTGAACATCATATACATAAAAAAAATAAACTTTCAAAATTTTTGAACATTTTAACATGAATGTAACCTGCAGCCTGACAAGAGCACTTGGCGGTATATTTCCGTAGAACTTTTCGCTCCATACTGTCTTCCAATTAAATAAGTATTGTGCGAACTGCAATATAGTACATTTTGAAGGCAGAGTTTGTAGGATTACAACCAAATTTATTTGCAAACGAGGTGCAACACCACCAGAAAACTACCTATTAATATAATAGTTACACAAAGGTTCATCCATATCTTGATAGATTCTGATGCGGTCCACGTATACAGGAGCATTTTCGTCAGCCATCATAAAGCGCAAAAATCCTTCACCAGAAAGTTTGCCTTGAAATATAAAAAGAAAGAGATTATGAGCTCTGAAACTAATAGCGAGGTAAAAAAGGTTTTTGAGCACTAATATAACTAAATAGAAATCAGCAAACCTTCACGAATATACTTCTCATCAGTTTCGAACTTATCAATAATCAATTTCTGCACTCGTGCCTCAGTATAGAGTGGATGGAGAAGCTCATTTAACCGGTCATCTCTCTGCGTTTCGTTCATAAACTTTATTAAGCGGTCTCTAGTTACATACTCCTTTTTACCACTTCTGAAAAATTGTTAAAATTGTAACCAAGTAAGGCAACCACTATCATTCATTTCTACTTCCAGATGCGTAAAAGTGACGGAAAAATTCCATTACCAATGCAGGTCTGGGTAGAGAAATATGTTATCAAAAAAGATAGACAAAAGATAAAGGGAATTCTTTTTGTTATAAGATATACAGTTTCCATTATGTCCTCTGATACTATTTTGCAAAAAAATAACTCTTTAGTATCGTAAAACCTACATCTTAACGAAGAGCTCCTGAATATCAGATCTTGGTGCGATTTTTTGATACAGTCGTAAAAACCGCTCAAAAGGGAAATTGCTAACGTCTATTTCTTCACGTTCCTAAAAGTGCCTACTTGACCAGCTAAGTAGCGTACATTGCTTCTGTCAAACGTTCACTAGACAAACGATAGTCAGAAAGACATTAGTAAAATATCTTAAAAGTTCATAAAAAAAAGAATAGCAAAGAGCAACTATGATGTAACCTTGTCGCCATACAACCCGAAGTCTCCCAAACATTTTAGTGTCATAGAGTCATCTTTGCCACATGAAAACAGCTTAATGATGTTTTTGATAGGAATTCTTCCCCTTTCATTCACTTGTAGTGTTAACTGGTACCAACTAGAAACGTTTTTACTAAATTCATTTGTCATCAGTGAGAATAGTTACAAATATAAAATTTTTTAGATTAACCTTTTACAAAGATTTTACAAAAATATCATCTTCGTTGATTAAACAGCCAAATTAATCGGAAAAAAAAAGAAGAAAAGCAAAAAAAACCCTTCGAGGTATGACCTCTTCCTATAGCATTTTCTTGATTTTTAGCATGCAAGTTATAGACTCTAATGTTGCTTAAAATTACATAAAACGGCTCTATTTTCAAAAGTATATCTTTGCTTCTACAGATATAGTAGTGAAAAGCCAATCACGGCTTTTCAGCAGAGAAAAGAATATGCGCAAAAATAACCCATTTTAAATTTAATAGTACCACCAAATAATTTCGACGAAGAAGCGGTGAAACAGAAAAAAATTTTTTCTTGAATGGAAAGACTAACTGTCAGGTAGTAACAACAACATACGTCTTTAGAAGCCGCGTCGAATAGCTGGAGTGTTTAACCTTGGATGTCTTCACAATATCATTGATACCATCACGCCATAGCTGAAATGTATATATTAATCTGTCCTTTTTTTT